CATCGTGGACACAGGTCTTGAGAAGTCACTGGTTTACAGACATAAATTAATTGAGAAATTTTCAAAAAGTGTGGGTAACCAGTTTTGATTAGCGAGTGGTTCGTGTACAAGCGTGACGGAAAAAATTTCAAAAAAGAATGTAACAGTATCAAAGCATGATAAAAATTTTCAAAAATAATATCAGAGATAATTCAAACACGTCTGAAAATGGACTTCATTAAAAACAAGTTACTGGAGTTAGCGTACTTGTTAGTCGATCGATTTATGTTAGCGTAATTGTAATTGCAATATTCTATATTAAATGGGATTCTTTTGTTCTTCGACGTCGGTTTTTAATTCGCGTAAAATTGTTTGTCATCCGTGACAAGCGATCGACATGCGTCTGGCTGCGTGATAATTAGCTGAATATTTTGAGTGCCGAGCTAAATTCGGCACTGAACTTAATAAATCTACTATATTATTTTAATATTTTATTACTCTCTTTAATATCTTGGTAAAAATTATATTTTCGCTTGCTTTAAATATTTAATAAAATTACTCCAATTGGATAAATAACACTCGCAAATGGATGACGAGGTCGTCTTTTGTGGAAATTTACGCATCACCCCGATCTGGGTGGCACTCAAAGTGTTAATAAAATGATGAAGGAGCGATTCTCAATTTAAAATAAAATAACAAACGTAGCGCGTACGTTCTCCAATTCGCTCGCCGCCGGCCGGCGATCCGAGGCATCGGCGACGGGAACGGGATGCGGAAATCGGTAAGCGATTAAGCTCGGATCCGTGGGAGGATGCGAAGAGAAGTTCGATCGCACGTGTGCCCAGGAAGTTGCCCGCGAATTCTCGCGGTCGCGATAAGCATCGCGTAGCACAATAAACACGGAAATCGCGTTAGCGGGTTTATTACGAGAGTGCGAATTAACAATGGCGGCTTGCCCGATGAACCAATCTACGAAACTTGCGATTAACATCCTCCGGCGACGGAAGGGGGAATCGTCGGTCTCGCCGAGGGGATAAAACAGAGAAATGCATCGTCAATGAAATTACGAATGTCCGTATATTTGACCTTAGCAGTAGTGTGAATAGTAATAAAAATAATAATAATAATCGCGCCGTAATCATAGTACATCGTGACGTTTCTCTCATAAGAATAATCTAAAAGTAGTAATAATACAATCGATAAATTGCGATAATAATTACTATACTGTAAAAAAAAACTCACTACCATCTTTGGGAGACAATGCGTAAGAGAAAGAGGGTAAGGTAGCGGACGCCGTGGAAACTTAAGATTAAAGGGTGGAGAAGTCGAGGTCGAGGTCGAAGAGAAGGATGTAAAGAAAAGGGGATGTTCTTCCGTACAAAATTAGTTCGCAGGTCTAGTTTAAGGTAATTAATAATATTATACTATCATATAATATTATATCCAAATTCCTGCCAATCGTAAATAACCGCCCGAAAGTGCAGTATTCGCCGAAAGTCACTATTCTCTCTCTCTTTCTCTCGCACACTCATACTCTCACTCGCTCGGTTCTTCCCTTTTTTTCGTTCTCTCTTTCACACTCTCTCCCTCTCTCTCCCTTCCTCTCTCGTTTAGTGTCCCACTCGTTCTCTGTCCTCGCGCGATAAAAAGCTTCCTCCATTTAAAAAGCAGTCTTTCGTAGCACTGTGCGGAGCTCCGTCCCTTCCCGTGCCTTCTCGTTAACGGTATAAAAAATGTTTCGCCACGGGCGAGAGATTACACGCTACCAAGTGGCAGCCTCGGCGTGCGACACCCGCGAGACGCTCTCGCGCCACGACGGCACCCGGGAAGTCGTCAATCGATCGAAGCAGAATGCATATCCTTCCGTGCGTGTCGCGCGCGGGGGCACGTCATACACTTATTTATTCACAAATAAATGAGTGCGCAAGTGTCTCGCACGTGACTTCCGATTTCGTTCGGACCGTCAGAATCACCGTGTCGCGTTCACCCGATCGCATGACGCTTCGCTTTAACAGGACGCGGAGGACCTCGGATCGTCGACGGTAAGATCGGTCGTTCCGGTCACTCGCTTCGTAGGGCGAACAGAAGATACGTCAGCCTGACTGCGCCTGACGAGAATGAGACCTCGTCACAGAGTACATTGCTTATCGCTGTATCCGCTACTCTCGCTACATCACGCAGACAAGCACGCAATCGTTCTCGCTCGAGCACCGATCTTGGCAGTCACGCGGAAAACCGGCATCCGACCGGATAATCTCGGCATTTAATGTCTTAAACGTTCTCGCCGCGTTGATCTCGCTGGTCTCACGTGGTGAACGTCAATACATTTCCGCTACAATTTCTAACATTATGCGACCCGGTATTGATAAAATCCCTGCGCAAACATTACGTGTACTGATTGCACGTTGGAAAACTCCGCTGGACAATGTGAACGAAGATTTCGTGTAATTTGAGAATTTTACCTTTTTCCCCCTCGTTATTAACGCCGTAAGCCGGCTTAAATCGGACCAGGATAATCCGACGTCAATAAAATTAGCGATATAATGATTATATTAAGGATTTATTCTCTTTCGAAGCGAAGAGAGAGTATCTTCGAGATTATATGAGATCAGACTGTAATAACGCTCCGGAGGCGGAGCAGCGATTCGCGATCGAGGAACGAGCAGGAAGACGGAAGGGCAGGATGCTCTCATTTAGCGCGCGTCGTCTCGCTAAGTTACAAATTTCTTACAAAAGCCGAAGACTTACATATCGCCGTGTATTGTTCGTCGACAAGTGACGTCGCGACGAAATGAATTGTACGAATGTGTGTTTCTCGCGGTGCCGCGGTACAGTGGAGCACGTGTGTCAATAAAATGTAATGAAGGGAAAAAAAAGAATTACTGGAAAACTCTTGGAAAATTTCTCCACGCACCGTGGAGCAAAGAAGAGAAAGAAAGTCCGGCTATTTATTATCCCGACGTCGCGTGTGCGTGTCATGAAATTCCTACGGTACAATTAATCTATAATTTATAAAAATGCGACTCGTCCGTCGAATGTCTACCCGCGTTATTTCATCTCGCGTCGTCGTCATCGTCGTCACGCTTGCTTGTCCGCACGAGCCGGCGGAAAGAACCCCCCAGCTGCTATAACTATACAATTAATTAACGTTAGTAATTACTCTCACTTAATTCTAAATTTATCATGATATCGCGTCGTACGTAACGATGTTATCTCCATTACTCATGGCGCCAGCCCGTCGTAACACGTCCGCTTTTACTAGAACACGTCGCTACACATTTCGTTTAAAACCACACCAGAACTTTTCACTAAGAAATCAACAAACTTCGACAAGAAAAGAATCACGATTTCGCGCACTGTACGAGCCTCGTTTTTTTTTCTGTACTTCTTTCTCTTTTATTCCTCGAGCTCCCCGACTCTTTATACGACACTCATAATTCGATTACCGGAGTAGATCCTTGATTTAAGTAAGGAAAGAGTCTCTTAGAATAGGGTCTTTTCTTTTGTACAGACCAATCCATCGATATTGCACGAGTTTCCTTACACCGAAAACAGTTGCACGACACGACCGATCGGTCGATACGAGCTGGTAATTCGTCAACACTTGTTCTTACGACTATCTACTCACAATTTTCAGAGTGATCAGCACAAATCAAGTTCGTACTCTATTACGTTATTCTAAATCATTTTCCGTATAAAACACTCTTAATTATTAACTATTCAGACATAGTAAAACACACTTTGTCTCATTTCTTTATATTTAAGGTTCCTTGAGAGTTAAGGTTTACGTATACATGCCAACGCGAAACAAGTACAGACTTATCGTAGTGATTAAGGTGATAAATTTGTATTAGAAAAAAAGGACAGAGAAAGATACATAGAATATTAATGGTACGATTTACCAGCGTGCAACAATTCATCGTGCACTCTTATTTTCTTGGAGAGGATAGAGGGGGAGAATTCGCTCTGCGTTTCAGCCACGCGTTAGGCCGCGCCGCGCAATCCGCAGGGCGAGCAAGTGAGAAAACAGAGGAACCGCTTGACGAGCAGATTCACGAATGTTAACGTGCCCGGTGCGCCTCGCAAGGGCAACCGGGTGCATCGTTGGAACCTGTCGTCGTACTCTTCGTCCTCCTCGTAGTCGTAATTATAACTGTACGAAAGATTACGTGGATAATGATGAGGGTGGTGACGATGACGTTGACGTTGATAATGCTGTACTTGTTGCTGATGCGGATAAAGATGCTGGATACGGTGTACGCACTTCCTGGTCTCCAAGGCGCTGGGTCCTGGCAGTGAAGGGCGGGCGAGGGTGCGCGCCGATGCTGTATATCCCGATACACGCGGAGGATTGTGCGACGGGGGTAATCGCGAGGATAATAATCTTGGGGCCAGATTCGGCCTCATTCGGGATCACCAGTTGGCCATGCCCGGTTTGTTTAGAGTCATGAAATAGATCTGGCACGAACTACCACCCTTCGCCGACGAGAAGAATACCTGAGAAGCATATTACAAGAATGACATATGGATGAAAGAAGACGCATACGAGCATGGAAACATCTACGATTTCATGCATTGACGCGCGGTTCCAACTAGGAAGCATACAAATGCGTGTACTTGAGGTCATACGCACCTTATCGTTACGTTCACAGAGGAACTTGAGCCGTTGAGCCTTCTTGTGCATGAAAACACCGTCGAGATGGCCGCTGTCCACGCTCCTAATCTCGATCGCCTTGTTGCCCCAACCCATAATCTGTCCGGTGCCAATGTATGCGACGCTCGTAGGCATCTCGCCCCACTGAAGAACCATCGTTTTCGATACTCTACCGTAAGTATTGACATATACGCCCTCGTTGTCGTAGCAGAGCAGCAACTGCATGCCGTTGCTATTCGGCAGTGCCACTATACAGTGCGGGCAAATAGGACCCTGGGTCTGCGGTTGAAAAGCAAATGATAATATAAATTACACAGCTTTGAAGAGGATACAAAATACATGTAGGTAGACGTACGCGTTTCCAGCTATTGATCGGTCGAGCTGCAATTTATCAATTTGAAAAATACAGGGACTCGATATCTAAATAAAATTAGAATAACATATCTTTATCGCTATACCTAATCGATTATTGATAATTGATCGTAACGAAAAGGCTCGTTTAAAAATACATTTCTCGAATTCTCGCAATGAAAAATTATTAACGCTTGCCGACATACTGTTAGATACTGTAAAGTACGTGTTAATATTCTGCTCGTGCCGAGTAATCACCGATTTATCACTGAAAAGTGTATCTGATTTCTCGTACGTCGAGATCGACCGATAAATCGTACCGCGCACATCTACCCAATGCGGATGGGAATCTGATTTCTCTCACGTGTTTCGGTAGATATATGTCGTAAACCGTGGCGGAATCCAAATCGACCGCGTGAAATCCATCGGCGCTGCCGTAAATGACCTTTAACCTTGAACCCTCCTCGACCGTAAGGTCAACCAATAGAGGTCTGTGCGCGAGTTCGCCGAAAGACTTGAAGGCCATAAATTTGTGGTACGGCTTTGGCGCCCAGGCGTAGATCTCTATGGAGTCCTTCAGTGCGATCACGAGGAACTTTATTCTTTCGTATTTCACTATCTTGAAGTGCACCGCGCCCTGCAGATCGCCCACGTTGATCCAACCGTTACGTCGCTCGACTTGCTGCGAACAAACAAGGAGATGCGCGACGTTAAAGCGCGACGAATACGCACCAGCACACACGCGTCGGAGAGGAAATTTTTTTTTCGATATGAACAAAACCGGAACTTACGTCGCTGTGACCATCCGTCCGCAGAATTTTGCTCTTCAACCAGGAGAGGTAATAGACGCGCACTCTATTTTTCTTGCCGCTGATTGTAACGAGGATATTCTGACCCTCGAGGACCTCCATTTGTTGAAAGCGTCTTCTGCTGATCAATTGGTAGACCTTGCCCTGTCCACTCCTGTCCAGTAGCATCAAGCCGTTCTCGGTTCCAATTAACAGATTTACACCTGTAAAGCGGAAAGAATCGGTTACGATCCGAGCTCGAGCGTGCGCGGTCCAGCCAGGCAACGAGAGGGATTCTGCACTGACTCTACAGGACGTTTGATAATAGACGTAACACGGCTTGTGAGCAAGCGTGATCGGACACTCTGTATACGCACCCCATAACGCGGCGCAGAGGATCTCGCTGTTGAAACGCTTCTTGTATTTGCGTATCTCGGGTGTGTCCGAGGCCAAGTCGTGGCTGGTGGGAGTCACGTTAACGTTCACGTGGGACTCCCTCCTCGCTGGGCCGGCTCCGAATCCGAAGGTCAGGAAAGACCGCTGTTTCTGTTGGAGCGCAAACGGAGGAGGTGATTTCACCGCTTGTCGATACTGCAACAGAGATGGCTTTGCCGTTTAAGAGAACCCCGGGTGGCGAAACCCCGGTGTCGAGAAAACAAAAACTGTCAGGCAAAAAAACTCTACTTTGCACGCAAAGAGATGCTGGAGATAACTAGGAGAGTTCGTTCATCAACCCAAATACCGCAAACACGATCAACAGAAAGGAGACACAAGTCGCAGAGAGAGTCGCGTAAGGATACCCTTTTTCTCATTAAATGGTAAAAGAACAACATGCAAAAGGATTGAGCGAAGAGATGAGGAAATGAAGAGAGAACAAATCAGCCGAGTCAAATATGCGATTATCTACATAGCATTCGTACAAACAAACAAATATCACCTCGATCGCAAATTAAAGCGTTTTTCTCTTTTCGCAGGGTAACGTAGAAGTGAGAAAGAATAAACATTTGCATGTGGTCCACGGTGTGTCGTAGGGGATGATGCGTTTGGTAAAGGATGAAGCGGGCTCGAAACTGGCCAAACTCTGGCGTTCAACGGCATCCACAATCAACCCACTATTAGCCATTTGCTGTTACGCGCGTCTTCGTGTTATTCTCGACATGACACACTCAATACGGGGGATTAAACATCCGCGTCGTGGAAACAACGGTGATTTATCCAGCGCGCGGTCGCCGCGCGCTTTCACGGGTGAGAAACAAAACCCAGAGAAAGGACAGATGAAGGAAGAGAGAGATGTGAGAACAAAAAGCAACGGTGTTCGCCGCGGCCGTGTTACAGGAGCTATTCGTTTTATTACCGTGGTGACACCAAGAATCAAGTATAGATTATTCCCACAGAAACCAACCAAAAAGGAGGACATAAGATAAAAAACGGCCTGGGCGTATACACAAAACTGGCATTCATTCTCGCGGTGCATAATGAAAAATCAGATCAACGTTCGAGAGCAAAAATAACACGTGTCCTCGTAAACCCCTCCGTTCCCGCCCCTCGCGCGAAAAAGCGAGGAGGAGGACGAGGGAGGGACAGTACTTGAAGTTCTTTGTTTTGTTTTGTTTTTTTCTTAAATGGATGAATAGATACTTACATTGTAATTAGTATTGGGATTGGAATGGTCAGTAGAGGGCCCTGCCCTTCGAGTTAGAGCTCCCGCGTGTCCCACAACACACAACATAATCCTGAATTAGTCACGCTGACAACCGTATAATTGACGCTTAATAGAGATCACACGTGAAACAGAGACATTGCGTGGTATCCTACGATCCTACCGATCGTAACGTAAAGCGTGACCGTACAAGCCATAATTTTCTTTTCTTTCCTTTTTTTTTTGTGGTAAACTCTATGTACAAATCCGATCTCGACTCGTAGCACGCTGCGCCCGCGATTTTCACGTCTCTTCTTGCACGTGGATGAGAGGTCGGGTATAAAGCGCGCTCTTTGCATACGCATGTAGGTATATGCAGCCCGTTGTATTCGGAATACTTCGTATTCCGCGACGTGGTCGGATATCCGAGAAGCGCGTCTGAAATCAGGGGGGAGGGAAACGGAGAAGAACTCCGGAGAGAAGAAGTGTCGCGAGAAACTGTCTCTCGTTCCCGTGAGAAACCGCGAGAGAAATACACAGGGTATGTTTAAGGGAAACGAGAAGCCTACGCACTTTCTTCTTCTTTTTTTACGGTAAATGAATTGGGTGTGCCGCGCGAGTCGTTGGATCGCGAAGATTCCTTTGACGTCGCCCCCGACTCAAGTCTGACGGGAGATGCGAGTAAAGAGATAGAGCGTGACCCCGGGAGAGCGATATTTCCGGACCGTTACTAGACTAGTGGTAACTTTCTCTCTCTCTTTCTCTCTCTCTCTCTCTCTCTTTCTTTTTAAGTTTCTTTTGCCAGAGTGTAGAAAAATACGACGACTTGAAATCGAATTGAAATGGTCGCCTCTAAGGGGCTAAAATTTCCCGCTAAAGTCGAACTCGGTACTCCCTCCCGGTTCTTGCCTACAGCACCGTACAATAAACGCAAGGCAATCTTTCTGCACGACTTTCGCAGACGATAATTTTGTCTGTGCACATAAAAAGAAAACAGAGAAAGAATACGAAATGAAAGAAAAAAAAAGAGAACCGTCAAGATCTATTTACCAATTGCTAAAGTTCACAACGTAATGTGAGAATGCAACCTAGAGGAACGGAACAACAAGATTGATACGTATAGTTAACAAAATGCACTTTTTGGCTATCACGGACAATTAACAAGACATTGACACAAAGCATAAGCCGCCCCCTGTGCAAACCCTCAAACTGAAACATGTACGTGTGTAAGTCACGCGCGATTTATTGTTCGATTCGGCATAATCCGAAAGTTTACAAGTCGCGCGAGCTCGTACCGTAATCATACTGTCGTTGCCACTAGTCCATTTCCAAGTCTGGCGAGGTACAAAAGAATATAAATCACATGTTTGCGGGTAAACACAGTACCATACGCGCTACGTACCTATTTTGCGACGTATGCTTAGAATAATCGATGATAATTGTACACATTATAGAAACGTTTCGATCCAATCACAAAAAAAAAAGAAAAAAAAAGGAGAAAGCATTACTCCTCGGACAATCCGATAACACGGAGAAAGGAAAGCATTCTCATTTGCTACTGAACGAAAATGATAATCATTCTCAAGTTCTTGGTCGATCATTAAACGTCAACGATGTACGTCACATCGCTCACAAGACTCACGCCTCGACGAGACATATATATATAAATAAAAATAAATATATATATAAATGTATTTCGCAGAAGGTAGAAATAGAGTTGCGGAGAGTGTGATGCATGCGCGCACTCGCTCAGCTTTCGCGCGTGACTGGATCCAGATGAAGCGAGGAGCACGAACAAACGCGAACGAACGAACTTGCTTCAACGGCGTTGACGTAACTGGCCCAAATTTACATCGTCAAATAAGTTCCATCTCTCGTTGGTGTATTAAAGGAGAGCCGGCCGATAAACTCGGCCACCCTCGTCCGCAAATATTCGCTCGCGATCGTTCGTCCTTGCCAGCTTGGATCCACTTTTAGACCCGCGCGAGCATGTCTCCCGTCAAACGTCTGATTAATTCCACGTTAAATTCCCGTCGGCAGCCGCGCTCAACGATTTTGTTCTTTCCACCCTGCAGCGATTCGCGTCGTGAACGTCTTTGTATTTGTCGAAAGGGACAAAGCATACACGAGTGCACGCATGGAAGACCGATATAGAAGACAGGAGATATACATAGGTACACAGACGGACGGATGAATCTGACCTCCTCGCTAGTTGACTTGTCCTGCCGTTGACCCGGCGAAGAAGTCAGGAGATCCGGTAAGACCGAGCTGGGCCGTGAACCCGGAGACGAGTCTGATCTCTGGAAATCACCGCCGCCTCCGCCTCTCGAACGGTCACCCTCGCGATTCTGCAAACCAGTGAGTCTCCGTTTAACAAACCGTGGCCAGCCGAAACAGTGGGTGCAAGAGTGGAGGTGAAAAAGAGACTCGATCGAAATCTGAATTTTTATTTTAACGATTACTTCCCCGTCCAGAGATTACGTTCCCCCTTTTCTCTGCAATCCTGACCTCATTTCCGTATGCAGAATTGACACGCGATTATCTTCTTCGCTTCATCGACGGGTCATTACGAATTCAGATCTCGATATAGTACGAACATAAGATAAGGGGCAAATTACGCTAATTAGAGAGGTGGAACAATTATATTGAGTGTTAATATCGAGACAGGAATTGGGAATTGATGATGAAATACGGCCAGCAAAGAAGAATGAAAGAATGTGCGAATTATGTCACGAGAAAGCAAAAAGACAAGCAGAGAGAGAGAGAGAGAGAGAGAGAGAAAAGAAACGGAAAGAGGAGACTGCAAAGAACGCGAGAAAAGCTATGAGAGAACAGATTAAAGAAAAACAATATGAAGTGAAATAACAAAAATAACGTCCAATAACTTGTTTCGACGATGCATCTAAAAAGAGATTACGAGTTATTGATTTCTTCTCACGGATACGCAACAAGTTGTATAACTTATGTTACTGATCAATACATATAGTGCAGAATACGTAAAAAGAAAACGCAATCATGCAAACTGTCGATTAGACAATATCGATCGCATCTAGCTGCTTCTTAAACGTATGCCATTAAAATGTAACGTCATGAATTAACAAATTTAACATTATCCGTATGTTGTACAATTTATTTTACTATAATTTACACGATTTATATGATATTGGGTTTACAAGGGATTCCAATATTCATTATTCTAGAACTGGTTATTCGATAGAAGTATAAATGCACAAATCTCGAGATGTACAATGAATCACAATCGCTAGCACGAAAACCTGCACGATGATAAGCAAAAAGAAAGATAAAATAGATTAATGACGCACAATGAGTGATATGTTATCGGTTGCTGTGCTGCTATCATAGCAAACTAGCCTTATACTAATTAAGCTAATAAAACCGAGTGCAATTATCGCTTTTGTTTCGGATATCGTGCGACGTTAACGCAACAGTCGCACTCTTTGCTTTTCAGACTCTCGGCCAACGGACGTGAGACAAGATTATCTGAAATTCGGTCCGCGATTCTCAGAAGTCCCCGTCTGACGTGCGTTAAGTCCCAACGAAATTCCAACGATCGGAAACGGACAGGCAAACTCGCTACACGCGTCATGCCGGAAGAACACATAGAGACAAAATGAAGCATGCTTAGCACGTGCTGCAACAACACACGAAGGCACGAGATATGGTCGCTGTTTCAACGCGCAGATATCAACGCAACATTCGTACATGTCGCAAGCGTCATGCAAGACGATGCTCGTGATAACAGGCACAGCCTCGTACGACGTTTACGAAGTGATCCATCGTCTACGTATATCCTGTTCCTCGACTTCTGCGAGACCGTTCTCTGCCTCAACGTCGACCTCCTCTTCTCCCAGTACTTCGATCTTTGTAATCTCATCGCCTCTCTCTCTCTCTCTCTCTCTTTCTCTCTGTTTCTCTTTTCTCTCCTTCCTCATAATTTTTCTTGGTCGCGCAGGATCATGCATTAGAGATTGTATTATAACACAAAACGCACTCATACACGCCAGGCCGGATCGTTGATCATTGTTACAGTTCTCTCGATCTTTCCCTCTCTTCATCCCAATCTCGCTCATTTTCTTTCTTTCCGTTCTCCCTCATTATCTACTTCTTTCATTCTTGGAAGGCAAAGTTTTGGCTCGAGTAACAGGATTTCCAAGAGACCGATACTCAAAAAACACGATAGCAATCATTGTTGCAATGGTTAATATGTTTAGTAACTCACATATTAATGTATAAAGAGTTAATATTGTGTCGTAAACGAACTGGCTCTGTTGTTAATATGACTATTTTAGTTATCGTTAAAAATTCAGTAAACAGATTCTTGTTAGTGAAACTCGCACTTCGGTAGAAAGATTAGGAGAGAAAAATTTAACTGAAATGAAGGATCCTCGATCATATAAAACCGGTCAAAAGTCTCCCGAATCATCAATGTCGCTAATATTCTCCTCTATGCGAAAAAAATTCTAATTGGAACGCTCCGATAAAAAAACAATTGTCGACGGGGTTCCCGTTTGAAACGCCGTACTTTCGATTACTTCCATAAATTTAACAGGAATCGAAGCGTCAAGTGGTAGACCCGTTACGACAGATCACATTGAAACACGTTAATGTAATCGTAGAAACACGTGATTCGTCATCACGAACTTTCAGCAGTATTTTTTCTATTATTTTTTTTTTGCCAAATCCCGCGGCGTGTCGTTGCGTCGGTGGTAAACGACGTTGTCGAGTATCCCGAAGAGATGCCATGCGGTTAATCCTCAGTTCAGTCCCAGATCTCGTATTTTTCGTCGCCGTAGAAGTGGTGTGTCTCGGCGCTTTTCCACATAGTTTAGCACACATCACTCAGACAGTAGAGGACGAGGCTCGTTTGCCAGGGACAGGGAGACACAGCGATGAATGGAAAACAGAGGAGTCTGAATTACCGAGTAGCAATTAATAATTCGACATCTCTTTCGTGTTGGCCGTATCCTCGTATTAGTGTGTGTACGTTCACGCGAGATCCCGCAACCCAAGTACCGACAAATACCTCAAATAAAGCATCAGAAGTTCACAGATGGCAATACGTCGTGTGTGCACGATTAATGGGACCCGGGTAGGTCGTCGAAGAAGAAAACGCGCGTTAACGCTACTCAGCAAATACACTTGCAAAAAGCCTCTTGAAGAGCGAAGGGAAGAGTGAGTAAGATATTGTATCTCAGCCGCACCTCCTAGCGAGAATCTCCCATGTCCTTGGTAACAAGTAGGAACTAGAATTAGTGGTACTAACAGTAGTAGCAGTAGTAGTAATGGTAATGGTAGAAGTAAAATAGAGAGAAGTAGTGATGGTAGTGAGAAAGTTAGTAATAGCGGAGTTAGTGATGAAGATTGCGACGTGTTAACGATGTCCCAACGTTACGCTTGAAAGACCCCATGTTGCTTTCACACGAAACTAACGGAGGAATCTAATTGATTAAAGATTACACGAGAGATGATATTAATACTGCTAACGTGGTACTGATAATGGCACTAGTAATTAATAATGTATCGCTGCTACTCATTTGACAAATCGTGAAGGTGAATTGAACACAAGAAAAGAAAATTGCGCCTAAGAGTCGAGCGTAGCTGACTAGCCTTCTATGTGATCGTTATGCCACTGGATGTCGAAAACTCAGTCACGGTTGTCTCAGGGGGGGGAAACGTGAAGAATCGAAGTGTCCACGAGGTGTCACGGGGATACGAGCGAGTTGATTAGTTAACAAAGTGACGAATATTTACAAATGAATGAACGGAAATTGGCAATGAGCGATACACACGAATAGACACGAATAACTCGACGGACACTTCGAAGGTACGTTCTGGGGATACGGGCGTAGGATCGGGGAAGATAACAGGCAAAAAAATTGTCAACATAAGGTAGTAAGAAGGGTCTCTTTCAGGCAAGCACACAGGCAGGACTCGCGAAGGGCTCGCGAAGGTTTCTCGCAACTCGGGCTGGCGACTCGCAGGCGATTCGCCTTAGGGGGACTGACCTGGGTGACAACGGGGCTGTACTCGCTGGCCGTCGTACTGGCCGTGGACTTAATCGTTCCCGCATCGTCGACCACGGCGGATGCCGTAGCATCCGAGGGTCTACAACTGCGTCTTCTTGCGTTCTCGTTTTTATCGCGTCCGAAATCGTACCTCCTCGCCTCGTGCCTACTACCGAAGACGATTTCGCTCTCGGTCTTTTCTCTCCTGGGCCTCTGCGGCCCCTCGCGGCACAACGAGAAGTCGGTTAGGACCGGCTCACCGGAGCTGAGGGCACTGCCTTTCTTACCAACAATACCAGCGACGCTTATCTCGCTCCCGCGCCGATTACCGCTGGCGAATATACTCGATCTCGAGGAGTCCGACGACTTCTGCAGGTACGCCGAGTGTCTCGCAGACGGGAAGAAGTCCGAATTCTCGCGGCGGAAGGCGCGCGCGAACGCGCTCGACGCATTGCCCAGTTTCGAGTCGCTCTCCTGCCGCCTGTGAATCGGTTTCAATTGCTGTTGCTTTTGATGTTGATGATGATGATGAAGCTGCTGCTGCTGCTGCTGCTGCTGCTCGTGTTTCCGTCGGGCTAACTGCTCCTGTCTCTTGAGCGTTCTCTCGCTAGACGAAGAGGAGCGATCCTCGTTGGATCCGGACTTGCTCGCTTGATTGGCCTTGCTGTTGCCTTCTTGCTGTTGATGCTCCTGTTTCATTTTATCCAACTTTTCGTTAAAACCCTGAAAGAAGCGGGTAAAATCCCACTCCTTCAGGAGGAGCTGCTCATCTATCTCTGAACGCCGGTTGCCGCTAGCCGTTGCACGATCGTCTGACATCTGACTAAGTTTCTAGAGTGTGCGTACGATGGCGAAGGTAATGGTACGGTGACAGAGAAAAAAAACAAGAAAAAGAAATACGTGCGATAACAACATGAAACGATGATTGTCGATGGTGGTGAGATGGCGGTGTAGTGTAATGATACAATGTAATAACGACTATCTTTGCGGCGGTAATAAAGCTATCGTCAAGTTGGAAGTAGTCAAAATTTTTAATTCAACAGTAAGTACGAGACTGCGACAAAAGTTGAGGAGAATGTAATGGCAGTCCGTTGCAACTTCACCGCGGCAACATAGTCTGTAGCGACGTGATGTGATCGTCGTTCGTATATGAATGTGCATGGTGTATCGTACGACAGCGGCAAAAGTACAGACACAAGGCAGTGCGCCATGGTGCTCGCTTGGAATATACAAAGTCCAGTCTTGACGAATACGTGGAATGAGACAATGAAGGGAGCGGACAATGTCACTGATTTAGTCCCGAGTATCAGTTAATATTTACGTACATATTTACAAAAAAAAAGATGAAAAGAAAGATGAATATATGCGCCGCAATCGCTCACGTTTCCTTCCCTTTCCGTCCATCCTCGAGTTGAAATCCATTCTCACGCCAACAAGGACTTTAGGGCGGACGAGCAACGTCATTTAAATTTTGACGTACTTGACCTTCGTGAACAACTCAACGAGTTGGACGGGGAAGAAAACGCACCGACTGCTTTGCGCGAACTACTAAAACATGATTACGTAAGACTCGTACATCACATACCAACGGTATACGAAAAATCTCAATACCGAAATGAAATATATCCGAGCGAAAGAGAAGAGATCTACACAAATGTATATTTCAGCTTGCATCGCAATCTTGAGAGGAGAGATACTCACTCGTTTCATGACTAGCGTACGATCACCCGATTCTTCCTCGTCGGGGGTCGGTGGGAGCGGACGATTCGGTGCTCCTCCTGTAAAAGATCAGACAGAGGGTGCAGGGCGTTAGAAAATCACAGCGCGTAGGGTCATTAATATTGCGCCTGGGCATAGTGGCCTGCGTACCTTTCGGCTTATCCTCGTGATGTGAGTTTTGAGCATTGTGCGAGGACGACGATGACGAATCCGACGACGGTCTGAAAGGAGAAAATTCGGGACTGCAGCGGTGGAAATAGTGATTGCAGCGAGACGACGTGACGGCGTATGAAGCACACGTAATGCGTTGCGCCGGTGTTGCGAGGTAAGGCGACCAAGACGACCATATGACGCGAAATGCCGAAGCGTGGGATAGGCATGATGGAAGATGAAACGAAATGACATTAGTAAGTATTAATACAACTACAGCTACACTTCTTGCTTTAATGTATTCATAAAAGCGTTAAAGAAATGACTTTGCACAGTGTCGTATTGCATATATTATTACTTGTTTCTTTACTGGAAATAACTCGACGATACAAATAAAATGTATTATAACTGCCTTTTCAGAGAAAATGTTTTATGGACCGGTTATGTCATTCGAAACTGAACAAAGATTGCACAAGAAATAAAGCGATTAAGAAAAGAGTTTTATGTTTGTGTATTAAAATTTTGGAAAAACTGAAACTGAGCTTCTCTACAATTTTACTTTCGAGAGAAGTCGCAAATAAATCTGCAGTTACAATATCTTTTATCGGTGCCGTTGAATTAATATTATGCGTTAATATCAATTAATTAATAATGGCACGTATGTTTATGGGAATGAATGACGATAATGGAACCTTATATATCGAGCATTATTTAAATGTTATTAAATATATATTCCCAAATAAAATATTCCTGGCATTGGAATACTCTACGAAGCGGCAAAGTCCTCTACTTACAGTGGCTTGGGCGGATCGCTGGCCAGCAAAGTACCATCGTTTCTCAAATTGTTCCCACCAGCATCCTCGAGATCGTCGTCGCTGTCGCTCTCAATCGATAGGGCCTAGAACGACAAGATAATATAACGTCTTTAGAGCACCTCGCATTCGTCCGTGTGACATTGATTTCTGTATCTTGTGTACTCTTTCTTTTACCTCGAACTAGACGCAAGGCGATGTGTCTCACGCAATAAGAAGACAAAGAAAACGAAAGGGATAATGTAACAACGAGGGGAAACAGGGATGCAGGCATAAGTAAACTTTGCTGCTGAAATATCAATCGTGGTCGCACGCGGCTCCAATCGCTTACTTGATCGAGAATACTGGAAGATTGCGGCATCTGTTTGTTGTTCTGATCGTTACCACCTGCGGGCTGCACCGAATTCGATGTAGACGAGACAGCAGGGCCCTTATGCTGCCTGTTTGGCCTTGGCGGGGCCTCGGGGCCCTGTGACACACCAAGCTCGATGAGTTGAGCAGCCAGTATCTCCATGTCCTACCACCCACACGCATACACGCACAACCCCGTTAGTCACTGTTCCGAGACCTCTGAGAATCTTTTGCTAGAAGCCACCACCGGATAGCCAACAAGGCAGCCAAACAAGGCAGAGAGAGAGGCAAGGAGAAACGTCGAGGGGGGAGCGTAATGTTGTGCACTTAAGCGAGGCTACTCAACGCTCAAATAAAATTTAACTAGGTTGATTCCGAAACGTTTGGCCACATTTTAAAAGTATACTCTATTTATTTACTTTGAAGAAACACGATGTAAACATCGGTCCGGAGATGTACCTCCTGTCCAAGTTATAAATACTCTTTCGTCGCGACAAAGCGCTTTATAAAATCACTTTTGCAACAAATTAATATTACGTTAACGTACATGACACGTTTTTAATTCTCTTTGTGAGAACGTAGACAAATTTTAATAATGTTAATTACGATTATCTCGATTCTCAAACCTTTACGAACAAATTGATAATTTATTCGGTTATTATACTTTGCCTAATATACGATGACAAATCCACTTGTTTATCTCAGGTTGTTAAAATGTTTCCACAGAAGTCGACTTTGTCGCAAGAAAGAAAATGTTTAGATCAAAAAGAGACATTGCCGGATTCACGCTTATATGATCTTTTTTTATCCTTAAGGCAAATAATATATGTTTTTTAAACTATTTCTATTTCAGAATCGCCCTTTATAACGCTGATATGACTCAAACGCAACACGTTTAATGAAGAATTAAAACAGGTATATTAGACTATGGTTAGTAGGAAACTGACATTGAATTAATGGTTTTAATTTTTGTTCAGTAAAATAAACTACCATCCAAAAGATGAGAGATATTCGTTTCAACAGACAGTTTTAACAGCTATAAAGATGTAAAAAGTAAAAATGTGTCCTGCTGTCGAAAAACGTTTTTGATTTTGATGGCTATAAAAATGAAAATCTTACATTTGTTCCTTCAAATTAAACAAACTATATTCATAACGTGTTTTTAGGAGCTTCAAATCTTGTGGAGAATTATTTAGATATTCTATTTCTGGTGGTCCATCCTGGGCATTGTTATAAATGTGGAACAAATCGATTACTTTTAATATACATAATTAATCGTAAATATTCTGCTCATAATTTAATGACGCGATAGGCAATGACGTTATATCTCGAAACACCAACAAACGTGTTGTGTATGTAGATTTGAACATGTACAATCTAACAAAGAAAGTCCACCTAGACGATTAGAATAAGAGTTTAATATGGAACAAGGCAAGTGCTCAAGCGAAGGAACATTAAGAAAACATGTATTTGTTATTATAAAACAGACAAATTTAAAAATGGATCAGTGCAGCGCTCTAAAACACATCCTCCTATCGATTTATATTCTAGACAGTTTTAGATAAAAGTATTGATAAATGTACATTTATTTCTTTACTTGGAAGGAACAACTTTACACGGTAAAATTTTACATGATAAATATTATATTATAGATCACTAAGCCACCTGTTAAGTGCAGCCTTTGCTGCTATTGCAACTTCTTCAGCAGATTCAATTTTCCTAATCTTTATTTCATAAGAAAATTCCAAGAAACGGACAATCATTACATTCTTCATAAATTCATCAATAGAACGTTCAAGAATATATGTCTTCGAACAAATCATCGTAAAAACCAACATGATTTCTGCACTGCTCGTCATTGTTAAATCATCCGTATTACGCAAGCGTTTGCAGAGAAGCAATTTGTCAATATACAAGAGAAAGAGAGAGAGAGAGAGATAAAGTGTGCGTGTCATCTTACCTCTGGCTTCTTCGGCGGCAGCTACGGTAGGTGTGAACATAGAAAAGAAACAAAAACCGAATACATTCCAAGTTCGAGTGCTAGGAACCTCTGTGTACGTGTGTATAGTACGTGTGTGGTAGAACGCATCAGCGTGTGTGCGTCAATGACGCAGTAGCGATGTAGAACGCGTGCAATGGACATGATAAAAATATATATATGTATAATATATCGCAAGTATATATAGAGAGAGAGAAAACATACAAAGTGAACTATGCGTTAAATAGATAATGTATACTTGGATCGATAAATACAAAAGTTTAAGGCAAAACTGCAAAGAAAAGGGAACGACAGCGTACGCCTTACTACAGATCTGGTCATCTATACTTTTCGTTTATGTCTATTTATGATTGTCCTTATCAGCAGAGTGTCGTGGAAGGAAGGAGGGACTCGGGTTGGGTAATTAGACAAGATTGGAAGGATATGAAAAGTGGAGGCCTATTTACAAAGACTCACCATAGGTTTGAAGACACTGTTCCTTTGAGGTGCGGACTGCCCGCCGGATCCTCCTCCTCCAGCAGGTGTCTGATGATTGGAAGGCGGCGTAGATACTTTGTGCGGTTGTCGGGGATCATCTCGAGGTGTCGGAGGTAATGGACGAGACGGTGGTTGCGGATCAGGCACCACTGTTCACGATTATCGACATTAGTAGCGTGAAAAAGGTTGACTGCGATCTTTTTACAAATCATTAAACGTACCAATGAGTCTGTGCGGTATAGCGGGTCTCGCGGGTGGTCCAGGTTCCGGCACCTCTCTTTGCGATCTCCCCCCTGGCTTTTCTTTCGCGGCAGGCGCTTGCGGAAGTACGTCCTGCGTTAGAGTCCTACCCTCCTGAATCTGTTGGAAATTACGGCGCAACGTATCACCTCCAGGCGCTTGAACTATGGACGACGGTTCGCCCGCCAATGCCGGCTCGTCCTCCTCGTTTTCGCTACCGCTGTACCGATAATCGTCTCTTTCTGCAACGAACGACAAATGTAAGCGTAACGACGATGCATCGAACTAAGAGTCTCTAGGGCGTAACTCTCGTTGTTATCTCCTGTACCTTTCTCCTGTTTGCGCTTTTTACAGCGGTCGATGTGATCCTTAAGCTGTATTCTGACTTGTCGTTCCGTAGGTTGGTCCCGTATAAACGGATGTTTAAGGAGCTGTTCCGTATAAGGTCTTTGATGGTAATCCTTCACCAGCACCGTTTCGATGAATCCGTGAAACTTTTTGGCCCACTTTTTCGACTTGAGCCGCGGCGGTGGATTACGAGGAATCAAAAACAAAGCCTGTTTGATAAAAGAAAACAATATAATGATATGTAATTATGAAAACAAGAGTATTATTCGTTGCGAAAAGTACGTATTAATCGTCAAAATTACTGAGGAAGACTCACTCTCATGGGATGTAGATCGCAGAGCGGAGGTTGTGATTCAGCCATTTCCAGAGCGGTAATTCCGAGCGACCAAAGGTCGCTTCTATTGTCGTAAGTAGCGTCTGGATTCTCGTCACATGCAATAACTTCTGGAGCCATCCAGTAAGGTGTGCCGATGAAGGTGTTTCTTCTGCCTATCGTCCTGTCCAACTGTGCGCTAACGCCGAAGTCAACTGAAAATATCACGGGATAATTAATGCACAAAGATAAGACGTGCCAAAATAATAGACGCGTTTTAATTCGATGCAAAAATTTCTCTCTTGTAAAGTTTCACCTCAAATAAGTTATGCATGTGTTATTTCTTTGGAAAGAAGAACCCGACGATTTCTTTTTGCACGGAGAAAGTTCAACGTTAAAGCCAACAATTATCTTGATTGATAAAAATTATTTGAAAACTACGTAATATTCTGTCCGGCGAATACGACTTAGTCTTTTGCATCAACCTGACAATCGATGCCTGCATTGACCCTACCAAGTTTGACTTCCGCGTTGTCTGTCAACAAAACGTTCTGCCCCTTGATATCCCTGTGGATAACTTTATTGCTGTGTAGATAACTAAGTCCCCTCAGTATTTCTCGCGATATATAAGCTATCCACTCCTCCTTCAAGCTCTGGCCCTTGGTGGACTTGACGAGATCTGTGACGGAACCAGCTCCGCAGTACTCCATAACCAGCCATAATTGATCGTCCTTGCCGGGTGATGACTTCTTTACGAAGGCACCGTAATACGTAGCGATATTCCTATGGTTCGAGTACTGCGCAAAAGAAAAAGAAGAACAATTCGTTTGCATTAATGCATTCCAGCCCAGCGCTTTAAAATATTTAAATAGGAAGGTAATTGAATCGCTCACCCGCTTGAGTACATTTATTTCCAACTTGATTTCTTCCTCCTCATCCTGCAACGAGACGAACAGTCCGTTAACTTTCTCGGGTGTTTCTTCTAATTTCTTATATTGCGCTTTTCACAAGTTAAGTAACATGTTATTTACATAAAGATCGTTTTAGGTATCATACTTCGAAATTTTGTACCAATTTGTACAGCTGTGAAACGGTAGCAAAGATTGCGCTCTACGCGCATCCTATTGTAAAATTCGAATAAGTAGGTCATTGTCAGAAAGTCGCGTCGTTAATTAGCCTCTCTCTACGGTTTATATTAATGCGATTATTAAAAAGACGTGAACTTTAGAGCTGTTGTGCACGGTAATCGCGCGAGAATAAATACACAATCGCCAGGCCAAGCGGGCCCGACATTTTCCTGCGAGTAAAATGTGAAAATTCTTTTTTATCTAGAAAAGCAAGCCTGAGACGCGCGCGCTTAAGTAGGTAAGTAGAGTCGAGTCTTTACTCGCGCGTACACCGAGGGGGAGAGGAAGAGAGGAAAAGAGGGCACCCGCGAGAAATGATACAAGGAGAGAGAGGAGAAAGGGAGACGGAGAGATGCGCGCAATCGTAATCGTAACGCTGAATCCCGACGCATCTTCTGCCGCCGATTTGGTCGATTTGACGCGCGAGGAAACGGTTAAAAGTGCAGCGTAACGGTAACATTAAGTGCCACGTTCCCCGCTTTAGATATAAATAGAGAAATAAGCGCGAGGAGGATCTGTTTACCGGGAATATTCCATTAGATGAGTATCGGCCGCGGGATGATTCATATCAGTGTAACTGTAAAATCGCCTGCACCTCGTACCAAGCTTTAAACGTAACGACGGCGATACAAAGGAAAAGCGCTGCCGCGCGCACGTGCGAATGACTTGCTCCGAGCGGCTATTGTCCAATAATACAAAGTATAAAAATATTCATTTACGCTGGGAGCAGAGGCAACCGCTTCGAAAACTCGAGCACGTCGAGTCGAACGTCCACGATCGTTCGATAGATCGGAGCGCGTCCGTCGTAAAGAGCCATACGTCCCCCCGTCCCGCGGACATTACTCATTCGAGATTCCGGAGGCCGTCGAGCGATCGAGCCGTATCGCTCGCGGTTTCGTAGAAAACGGCCTTTGTCTTTCGTCGGCGTTGACGATGCCGGCGGTAATGAATTTAGAGTCGCCTCGCACGTCGCGCTCCCCCGCCGATAAAAACTTATCTAACCGCGGTCGCGGGTATCGCGTCCATTTCTTTTTTTTTTGTTTTCCCTTTCGCGTTCTAAGGGAAGTCGCCTCCGTTTCCCACGTAAAGTCGATCTGCCGGCAAACGGCGCATCAGGAAACCCTTCGCGGTCACTTCCGGGATGGATCCTGGCGACTCGTGTGCCCCGCGGCAGAGCCGTCGTTGAACTCTCGAAGCGACGAAGGTAATTAAACCGCAGTGCGTGTCGCCGCCGCAACCGAATACTTGCCTCCGTGACGTCCATGACCTTGATGGCCGCCAGCTGACCGGTCTTGGTGTGCCGACCCTGCGGAGCAGAAAAGCGCATTGTCATTATATCGCCCCGTTGAACCCGCGGAGCATCGAGATAATGACGGTATTATTATCGGGCTGTGCGCGAGTGTCAAAACTTATCTGTCCCGACGTTATCGCTCCCGACGCCCCGACTATCGGCGCGTTCAAGCTATCGTCTCGTAATACGCGTCCCTTCGGGTAAATCGAGCCCTCCGGCTACCCACTCTCGTCGTTTACCCTTTAAAACAGCCCACTCGCACTGCGGTGGCCGGATATTAAACGGATTATTAAACACGGATTATTAAAAACGGATTATTAAAAAAGAATGACGCAACGTCGGCGAAACGCTGGGCGTTTTCTGTTGAGAGAAATTTCATTTTCTTTCTTCGGTCGCCACACTAGAAAATTTTTGTGTAAAGTCACAACCACACACGCGGGGAGAATTTTCTCTTAAATTTACCCTGAAAATCGTGGGACAACGTGGCATTTTGAAGAATTGTGTGAGAGTTTCTTGAAACTTTACCATACATTCTGCTTGGAAAATGTGTACCAACCATAATTTCAAAAAACTCTCATAAAGTTCCTCGAAATGCCACGTTGGCTCACGATTGTATGATTTTCGGGATAAATTTGGAGAAAAAATTCTCTCCGCGTATTACAGTGAGTAACATTAATGGGGCTCCGTTTATTAAAGGTGTATATACAGGGTGTTTCAGGAGGAAAGGTCAATATTCTGGGAGGTGATAGTATCGGTCATTTTAAGTAAAAATGTTCATACGAATATATGTCCCATTCCTCTCTGTTTCTGAGATAGAGCTACTTGAATCCCTTAGGCCCGGTCTACAATGAGTCGTTAGTCGTTAGTCAGAAGTCGCAACTATATGTTGATCCTTTTCCTTTCTGGGTGGAAGAAAAAGGACCGACATATAGTTCCGACTTCTGACTAACAACTAACGACTCATTGTAGACCGGGCGTTACGGAAAAAACACTCAATTTTTGAGCGTTAACACTCGATTATCCGAATTTACCCTCAAATTTGGGCGTGAACACTCAGATTTAAATATTTACACTCAAAATTGAGAGTAAATTTGGGCGTAAACGCCCAGATTGAAGTATTTACACCCAAATTTGAGAGTAAATTCGGACAATCGAGTGTTAACACTCAAAACTTGAGTGTTTTTTCCGTAAGGGATTCAAGTAGCTCTATCTCGGAAACAGCGAGGAATGGGACATATACTCGTATGAACATTTTTACTTAAAATGATCGATGCTATCACCTCTCAGAATATTGACCTTCCCTCCTGGGACACCCTGTATATTTACGTAGATACATCAGTAAATTTGTATCATGCAGATAAAATTATTGCCTTATACAATAAGCGAGCAGTTTGTTTTTAATTTTGTAATTTTTCACCGAGTATAAACAGGTATTTGCACAACAAAGAGTGAAAAACAAATTTTTGTAAAAGTACGTGAATTTATACATACATTTCCGTTAATAATAATGTAATTGCTATGCGCATTATGTATGCAATTTTACTTTTTCTACGGTACAGAGAGACAAAAGCCTGATCTACAACGTGCTCTTTGCGCCTACAACCATTTTACTTTGCAGCCAATAAACACGTTGAAAAAATGTGTTGAGTGACAAATCGCACTCTCTAAAAGTCAATCGGTGAATTATCAGCGGAAACAGTGAATATTCGCTGATTTACATGTGAATCAGTTATAAGTATGAATTATTCAGCGCTATACTTCCAACTGTTGTCGGCGATAAAGCACCGATTGACTTTTAGAGAGCTACATTGTCGACAAATTGTTCAAGCGTTTCGACCCGCTTATATAAAACAGAAGTGTTTCTGGACGCAAAGAGCGCATTGCAGATCAGGCCGGACGGGCCGAGAGCCGACGTACGCGGCGGAAAGAGCGTTACCGCACGCATTTTACGCCGCTCTTTCCGACTGTGGAACCGCGTGTGTGCGCGCGCGGCAGACGTTGTCATGGATATACGCGCGAGCCGCCGTCGTCCCGGCCGTCCTCTCAAACAGAGTCGCAGCCTCTTTCTCTTTCGCTCCGCGGCGAGGAGAGCGAGGCGCCTGCTCTCCCTGCCTGCGAAATCTCCACCTACGTGCGGAGCCCGACTCGCGCGGAGCCGAGAGTCTCGGGGACCGAGGGACGCTCGGGGCAACATTGCGACGTACGTGCTGATGCAAACGTGATGCAAATGTCGAGTATCGTGGATTAAATGCTCGGTCCAACTTGGCCTCGGCTACGCGGAACGTTCGTTCGCGGAAAACGCGGCTACGCGCGAAGGGGGAGCGTCTCCCGCGATAAGGGAAAATAACGTTTGCTCGATTATCGTTGCGTCAGCGGGCGAAATCGGAGCCGGCTCTACAGACCCTGTGCGAGAGAGAAACGTAGGCCATCTCTGATTCTACGATCGCAGAATCTCTCTCACTCGCAGGAATTTGACCGAATCTTACGACCAGTCTCTGATTACAGGGTCTCTAAAGCCGGCGATCCACCTGGTGCGCCTCTCTTTCATCGAGCGGCGCGAATCGATTGCCCGGAAGTGACGTATGAATTATAAAACTCGTTCAATCGTGCCGCCCGCACGGCGAGGGAGACAGACGGATCTTCGATCGTCGGGCAATTCTTCCGCCTCGATTAAGTCGGCAATAAGTCGTAATTATCGAGCTGCGTGTCAGGTGAATTGAAATTGCCGGCCGTCGAGGGAAAGAAATACGCCTGACGTCATTTTTACACAAGTCACACGCGTCGCTCTGCGCTCCGGAGTCTCAGATTGGGCCTAAATGCGTCACCGGGAGACGGCTTTATCTTTTCTCCGAGGAGCGTTATCGCACAATGCGCGATAGATTCAATCTCCGCGGACTTCTGCGATTGTTTTTTCTAGCCACGCTCTCCGCCGTTCGCGCGGCTTTACGCAACGCTTTAAAGGCCTGTCCAGCTATTGCATAGAAGCTGCAGCAGGTTGACCGGCCACACATTTCTCGGAGCTAGAACTGGGACCAGGTTCTAGCATCGTGAACACGGGCCTTGACAAATCTCGCTGCTTGTCTCAGCTCCGTGCCTTCCGCGCGTTAACTTTTACATTTTGCGCTCGCGGGATTCGCCTCCCATTAGCGAAAGTGCAAAGTGGCTCAATCGGGAGCAGTGGCGTTTTCTAATTTGAAAAGTCGATCTCATCTCTCGCCGCGATTAGCAACGCGGACGATTCAATCGAACCGGAGAGAGCGCGAAACGGGGACACGTGACATTTTGGCCGAAACTGAGTTAACAATAGATCCCCGACTCTACGTGAATAGGCGCAGCTGTTTGAAACAAAAATTCTTTCAACTCCTACTTGGAGAAGGGCCGGTTTCGCAAACGTCGGTCAACTGTTAACAAAAGTTCAGTGTCAACTCCATATCTTTTTCCGTCTTATCTAAGAGACAGAGATCGATTGATCTTCGGTTAGTAGTTAACCAGAGTTCAGTCAACTCCCTATCTTTTTCTGTCTTATTATCTAAGGCCCGGTTTCACCAAACGTCGCTTAACTTTAATCTTAGTTCAATTCATGTTTGTCTCTTTCTAAAGTGCACGTTGAAAAGAGACAAAGAACAAATTAAGCTAAGCTTAAAGTTAAGCGACGTTGGTGAAACCGCGCCTAAGAGAGAACCAATTAGCCTTCGGTTAGCAGTTAACCGACGTTTGTGAAACTGGCCCTAACTCTGTACTTCTGTTCAAGGCAAAACTAAAGATATTGGTTTGGTCAAATATGTAAAAGAAAAAAAGGAGATAAAAGGGGAAAAACTAGTTCAAAAATGGTATTAAGCCGTCGTATGTAATGTTTAAGTTCTCCGTATCTTTCTGTATATTTATATAGTTTATGGTTCCACTTGTTTTCTGAATGTAGAACATTTCCGCCATCTCCCTTTTACGTAAGTTTTTTCCCTGTGTAGCATTAAGGGATCTTGCCAATCGAAATCATGGCCTTTGTGGCCTTTTCTTTGCTGAACTTTTTCACTCATTTTAAAAATCGAAAAATGCACTTTTTTTAGATGAAAGTAAACAAGCGTATCTCGTTAACTACTGAAGATATTGGCATAAAATTTGACACAGATGTCAGTTAGAGTGCTACCAACCCTAAGAAAAAAAAAACTACTCGTTTGGATAAGCCCGCGCGATTTAAATGGGAAATGTCTCACTATTTTTTTATCACAGTAGTAAATATTAAATTGTGTATTAGACGATCAATCTCCGGAAATGTTATTTTAGTTGGCACGACTGCACAGCTATAATAAAATTGTCAGAGTGGTCGTTCAATCCGTCATTTATTAGAGAAAAGTCCTCTATTATGAGATATGCTTCTAATACGAGACAGCAGGTTTTCGACACCCAAATTCGATCACAAATCTTTTTCCGCGACGATTACGCGATCTAACAATGAATTTTTCACTAAACAGATCGTTCCGAGGGCAATAAATTCACGGTGGAATCGACTGATGACGCCGGTTAATTTAACAGAAACCCCGCTATCCCGTATTAGGATCCTATCTCATAATAGGTGACTTTTCTCTACTGGCGACCCACAAGAAACCTAATTCAATCACTAAACAGGTTTTTTAGTTGGCAGTAATTCTTGAATACATATGTTTTCAAGTTAAACATATACGTCATTCATCGAAACATTGTACCTTTTTGCATCAACGAAAAATTTTTGTGAATAACAAATATTTGCCTGGCGGCTCGTGACCGCCGCACATAGTTGAATCAGGCAATCTCATTTTACTTCAACATTTTTTCCCCAGTGTACCTGTAAAATTTTGTCACGCGCGCCCTTCTCGTCCCAATCGATTCAATTAGATTTTATCCTCGTAGATAGATACGTGACGGTGGCGAATTAATTGGACCAGACTCCGCTTAAAAATACCACGAGCTTCATCGTCGATTCCGATAAAACTCCTCCGATAGAGGACAATACGATTCGGCAAGATAATGTGCGCGCGCGC